TTTAATACTACTAAAATTCACCAGACGGTCCATGGTAGTGGTTACTGGTACCTTCAAGCCTTTGCATCTTTGAATAGATGCTTTGGTTTTAACGCAGAGATGAACTAGTGTTATTTTTCTGTTATGTAGCGTGATCCTGTTTTCTGCGAAGAGCCTTGCCAGTGGAAGAAATGCATCATATCTGCTCGTCCTTCATGGGTTGTTGCTGGCTGAAATGCAATATTGCCTTTTTAAAGAGTTAAAAAGAGCAAGGGAAGGAAATGGACCTCAGTGTTTTCATTCAGTTAGAGCAGGGTTCAGATCTTTGGGCAGATGTTATAGAAATAAACATTTAAAAATTCTAGAGGCATCTTGTGAAAGAAGGTAAAACTACATACCTTGATTTTTTTCAAGTGTCAAACCACTTATGAGGAAGAACCTACAAAAAGGTTATATCATATGGTAGAAAGGAAGGTAATAGGTTATAGTTAGATTGACTTGATAAAAACAAACAAACCAACCCAAAAAACCCACAACAAAACACCCTAACTCCAACTTGTTCCTTTCTTCTAGGTTAAGTCTTTCCCAGCATACGTAAACATCCAAATATTTGAACTTAACACCATCAAAATAGTTTCTTTTATAAAGCTATTACGCTACTTATGAACAGAAATACTTGCCCAAATTGTCTATGTGCAGAATTGTAGCAATTACTCTCCTTCTGTATTTAAACTTTGAGCTTGAATAGGTTGCATTTAAAAATCTGAAGATACACTTCAGGCAAATTTTTTATAATTTCCTCTTACAGGTAGTCAAGCAGACATTGTCAAGAAAATGGTTTTATCTCTATAAAATACATGCCTGAAATCTTCACAACCAAATAAATCAGAGGTAAAATATCCTTTAAAGAAGCCTTATTGACATAACTGAACGGAGACGTGTAACTAGCATTGATGCTGTCGCGTGTGTATGTACGCTGTGATGTTGTGTTGAAGAAGCAGGAGATACATGAAGTCTTGTGTGAAAACATTACTGCCAGATAAGACTCCCTGTGCTCTGAAGAGGCAAAGTAGTAATACAAATAAGGAGCTGGATAAAGCATTCAGTGGTCAAACAAAGCAGAAAGGCTTGTAGGATAGTGAAAATAAACTAAGTATTCTTGCTTTTCATCATTTCCTAATCATTTTGTAGCCCTGCTTTGCAACATTGGAAATGCCCACCTCACTTTGGCCACAGCGAGCTGGGATGCCAGCGCAGTACCCTTCTGAGATACAAATATAGGGACAGTCATATTAGATTGAAGATTGGAGGGGGGGGTTGGTGTAGGAGTGTCAGCCTAGTGTTGGTTAATGCCTTACACCTAAGCATGAGGACATTTCCCAGGAGCTCTGATCAAATCTGAAGGTATTTTGTTGTCAAAACAACTTGGATCCTAATTAATTTTTATTCTTTTTCACGGTCTTAACCAAACAGCTAAATCTTAAAGTAGGTGCTTGTCTGTGTGTGTCATTTGAGAGACATGAGTAAGTTGTTATTCTGGGGTACAGTAAGGATTCCTTGTGTGCTTCTGTGCTGGCTGCTGCCCTTTTGTTTTATCAGTAAAAGAGAACTGGAGGAGAAGGTACCTTTTCTGTGATAGATTAATGGTTAAATCATTCACTGAAGGCCTCTCCCGAATTCTAGCTTTGTTTCTGAATGTGCTGGATTGAAATGCATTCCCTTCCAGTAAAAATACTTGTGGATATTTAGCTGCACACAGTATATTTTGAAGCAAGGCTACTGAATCAAATGGCTTGCACTAATGAATTATTAAGAAACATTATAAGGAACACAACAATTTCCAGATTACTACTGTGCGTATTACGTAGGAGTTTGGATTCCTTTTTCTGTTTGGAGCCATCTGCATGCCCCCCTTCAAATGCCCACTTCATTTACTCCAGGTGGAAGTAATTGCTGCTAATAGCACTGTGGCTCAGCTGTTTGCTAAAGTAAGCCACTAGGAACATGTGACTTTAATTTGTCTTTATAAATACAGAGTTTGGTTTCTCACTGCTGTGCTCATGTTTAAAACTTTGAGAAGTGTGGCTTGGCTACCTGTGAGAATGCTTGTCCCTCTATGATGACTTGCTTCACTGGGGTTACGAAACAGTTTTGTTGGAAGAAAGCTTTTCCTGCGGTTCATCTGCCTGACACAAGATGCTCCTTGCTACATAAATGGAAGTGAGCCCTGCTCTCACCTTCTTCTGAACTAGATGGAAACCCCATCTCTTGAGCTACTCAGGAAAAAAAGCTAGAGAGTCTTAAGAATTAAATCACTTCAACTGTTGTCCTTTTGACAGAACCAGAAGTGGAAGGGATTTCTGCACTCACATTTCAGAAAAGGTACTGAGACAACAGTGTTGATTAAGTATGTACAGCATGATGCATGTTGTTTCCTGTTTGCTTTTTCCCTGTCCAACTGCATCAAACAATTAAAACCACTAAATGCTGAGATCTTACAGTGAATTCTGTGCAAATGACTGGTGGACTTGAACAGAATCAGCTATGAGCAGTTCTATGAATGAAGCAGTCTCAGACACAATTTTTCTAGGAAAAGGGGGTATTCTGAGAATGATTTCCCTTTTTTTTCCTTACTGGGTTTTGCTGTTAATTGTGAGAGTCCATAAATGAAGGGAGTTAGTGTTCCAAGTGGTAGTGTAGTTTGGGTAGGGCTCTTGTATAAATGGGTTTTAAATCTGTTTGCAAGCTCTACCTCCTAATCTTCTTAAAAGGATTTTGACAAGAGCGTTAATGCTTATTAGTGCCTGTCAGCTAGTGCACAGTTTAAAAAAAAAAAGGAATGGGTGAAAATCTTACTTGTAATATTTCAAAAGGGAGCTGTTGTAGTTGGTTATGGTTTGAAGTGGTAAGAGGATGTCACTGTGATGTAGAAGCAGCTGTATACACCAGAGAGTAGTTATTCTCTTCTGTAGTTATTAAGGGTAAGTTGGAGTATAAATGAGGATAGAGATTTAATCCTTCCTAGACTTAATTAAATAAGAAAAATGAGACAGAGATTCAGTGTGAGTAGGATCTGGACTTCTTCCCCATTGGCTTTGGATCCCTTAAGTCTTTGATTACAAAGTGGGATCTTTAAAAAGAGCTTCTCATGGAAGGAGTACTTACACTGTTGGCATAAGAATAAGATGGCAGAAATATGTATCTCTGAACTTAAGTCTTGGCTCATTGTAAGCTACCTAACTTCTGTTCATTTAGAACCTCATCCACTTGCTCAAAGAACATTTTTTTTTTTGTTAGTAAAATTAACTAGCAGCATTTGAGTGAGAGGTAGGGATAATGGTCACAGACACCAGTCTTTCTGGTACCCCTTTATACATCAACGATTGCTGCATCTGATCCATCATGATCTCCTAGGAACATTCTGTGTTTCTGTGCATAGTGGTAGGCATTTAGTCTGTTATGAAAGATTCTTTCTAATGCTGTCAGTGTTAGGTTTACCTGCTGATTCATAATGTTTGATACTCGTGTTTAAAAATGTATGTTATGTAGCTAATTCACTTTAGTTTCATAAGTATGTAGTATTTTTCTCAACCTGCT